TTCATTTTAATGCTGGAGTATTTGTTCAAGTCCGTAGATTTTGCATTTTTAATCTTCCTTAGAACAGTGGTGAATAATGGCCCTTGGCAGGAGATAATGAAATTTTCTTAATTTATATTTTCAAGCAGAAGCTTCAATTGAAAATGGCATCCTATGGCCTGGAGACATAGCTCTAGTGCAAGTTTCAGGGGAGCTGTAATAATAATGCAGTGCCAGTGGTGACAGGGAATGATAGGACAGTGAAGAAGTAATTTAAGAAAGAAAAGAGAATGTACCAAAGCTTTATTGTAGCATATCTAATGATCTGCTGAAGATTCCCAATAGCTTTTGGAGCATGACAGGAGAAACTAATGTTATCTTGCCAAAACAGAAGGCCCTGCTTAATCAGCAGAACAAGATTATTGATTAAAACACCTCACACAATAGATTGCACATGGAATCTCATCTCCATACGTTGCACGTGGGAAAGTGCAATAATGAGCGTAAGATAATAATAAAAAAAAAAGAGCTAAAGCAATTTGTTGGGAATTGTACAAGTCGAGATTAGAGTTGGAATACAAACAAATTATTGTGGAAAGTACAGCTGTCCTTAACGCAGAGCGCAGAAGGGCGGCATGCAGCAGGGAGATGGATGCGCCGGCAGCGGCATGTACTTGCTTACAGCACGACTGCGGGTTGTTTCGCTTCCCGTTTCTTCTGTGTTAATCTGATGTATGAAAGGGCCATTCCTCATTTGCACAGTCTTCTTCCTGAGGTGAAAGGAGTTCAGACATTGTACTGTAACTGTTAATTAAACACTCCATTTGATTTTTAGATTACTAGATTCTAAGCGAGGCATTTGCATTATGAAAATGTAACCTTTCTTCATTCATACTAAACTCCTGAGGAAATGAGTGTTAGAGTGCACAATTAGTCCTTGCATTTTGGGAGGCTGTATCCTGATAATTCTTCCATTCCCCTTTGCAAAACTCTTGCTGCTGTTAGCCCAGCAACCTGAGTTACCATTCTTTCAGTGCTGCAGTTAGTCTCTTCCTAACTAAGGTTTCAAATTGAATTCATATGCCATAATTTCAAAATCAACTACTATTGAGTTTGTATAGAGTTCTTCACAGATGAGGTTTATTTCATAAGTCTCAATTTCCCAGAAAGTAAAGCTAGTTCGTATTGTGCCTTCAGTTGAAACAATTTTGGATAGACATGCCAAGCTAAGAGAAAAAATAGTATTAGTTAAAGTGAATGAGGGACTTCCAAGTTAATTGCCAGTTATTTTTTTCTCTGATTGATGTCTAGGCCAGTTTTTCAAATTGCCAAGAACTTTGTGTCTATTATCAACTCATTTTGGAGAAACCTGTGAAGTAGCCACTTTCAGAAAGGGCCTGCACTTTCCAAAAAGGACTGCCAATGGGACATGAGGGATTGAGTTGCCCAGGCTGTAACAGTGTAATGTATTTCTTATTGCAGGCAGTGTTTCAAACTTGAAGATTTCTCAGAATTACGACGTTGTGCTAGGGCAGTGATGAGGTGGCCATACATGATAATCGTTTTGTGCAATTTTGTAGAAAGTGGAGTATACCAGAATTCAGTGCTTCTTATCTTAAAGATCACCTGAGACCTTTACCTGTTAGTAAAATGGCCTTTGCCATCAGCAGCAGGACTGTGCGCCAGTAGCCAGTACCAAAGTTATCATGCCTAGTCTTACAGGTAAAAAAAGAAAAGAAAAAGAAAAGAAAAGAAAAAAGAAAAACAGCAGTGCTGCAGGCTGAAGGCTTCCATTTATCTGGAGCACAAGTCACAGTAGAGGAAACTCCCCGAGCTGCTTGTCTCTCAGCTACCTCTACAAAATCCACTTTGTCTTCGTCTCCTCTCTTAAACCATTGAGATTGGCAGCTGCTGTAGCTGCTATCATTTTTGTGAAGATTTCACCAGAATTAGAATGTGATCACTAACTAGGTAACAGATAGTTGCCTGAATGTGGATTTTTTGCTTATATCATCTTAAACAAGCTTCTTTTAATTTAGAGTCTTAGAAGTGCTTGAAAATCAGAACCTTAAAAGAAAATTGCACGGGTTTTGTAAAATGCAGCCAGTGATGCGTTCTTAAATGTAAACCAATGATCTGAATGTGAAAAGCGACAACGTAAAGCACAAATCCTTCCATTTATTCAGTTGCCCAAGTAATTGCATTTCTTGGGGGGAACGGGGGTACTTTGTCACCCTGCTCTGTACCGCAGCAGCAGGCGCTGCCCAGTTTTATGCAGCTGGGGCTTCCTGTCTTTTGGCCAAAGGTGAGCAAAAGGTGACCATGTGCCCAGCAGGTGAAATCTTGCATAGAGAGGCACTCAGAACTTTTTAGAAAGTCAACAATTTTATGTAAATGGCACTTTTTGTAGTAAAACTGCAAACTGTAAAACTGCATTTTCCAGAATTATTATTATCCGTCCTTCACATCTAAACTAGCATGAAGTTCTTCTCAGTTTCCTTGACCGATGGCAACATTGTGAGATTTTAGTTGGGGGAAAATGAAAGAAAAGAAAACAGCAATGTCTCGCAGAGGGGGAGCAAGAGTCTGCCTTTTCCGTAAGGTTTACAAATATTACTGGAAAAGCTTTTTTTTTTTCTGCACAGATAAATATGACCTTCATCAATTTCATTCTCAAGCAATTCCTCCCAATATGTATCTGTTTTATTTTGTAACAAATCAATATTTCTCTCTTAATTGCTGCTCCTTCAAGTGTAAAATGAAATTTTCATACAGCTCAAAGCTGTAGAAACGGTTATACTGAATGATGCACTATGCAAAGTCTTATTGTAGGAATGATTTTTGCTTCAACATAAGGTTTTCACTGAAGAAACAAAAAGAAATTTAAGGAAACTTTTATAATTAATCATTTTTATAATAGTATAACATATATAAATCACATATAAATATATAGACTTATTAAATATATTACATATACAATCTTTTACATAAATAATATAATTAATTTTAAAGAAAATGGTATGATTAATCTTATCTCCCCAATTTTCTAATAGTGGTTAGTCTGGTCTGAGTTGTGAGGCCAAAAGATATCTATAGAGGTTAGAACAGAGAAGCCTGTGGCTTTCTGGGCCGTGTTTCGTTTTCCTGCTTCTGCAGCCTCTCCTTATGCAGCACCTAAGAGAGCAGCACTTTGGCTGCTCTCATCCTTTCATGGAGGGAGTATAAAAAAGGGTTTGCTTTGTGCATTTCCAGATTCAGCCCGGTGACTTTGGCCGCAAGTTAGGTGCACATTTCATCACTTCAGCGTGGGTCTGAAAGCCATTGAATGCTCTGTATTCTTTGCAAACCATATACATACAGTATGCAGCCTGCATACTGTGCGGGCTGTTGCACTGAATGACTGTGGCGTCCTGAGTCGCCCGGTGATGCCTGTGTGAGCTGTACGAGGTACCTGCCTGTGCCTTCCGCAAGGGCACCGCCGCAGGCGGCACCGAGGGGAGCTCCCCGGCCCTCCGTCTGTCTATGTAGCCATGGCTTTGCGTGGCTACAGAACCCCCTGGCTATCTCCAGTGAGGTTTGCAATTATGAGATTTATGAGATTAAAAGTGAAATAACTAGCCTTCTTTAAAAAAAAAAAAAAAGGAAAGAAAAGAAAACATCAGAAGAGTTTTTGTTCCTGGATTTACTTAGCAAGAGGCTCAGTGTCTCCCATCAAGTTCTGTGCTAGTTCGATTAGAATATTACAAGAAAAATGATTTATCTCAATTGTACTTGCTCTACCTTTCATGAGGTAGTGTGAATTATTCTCATATCTGTTTGCAATATATAGCTGTGGAAACTTGTTGATACAAGATAGATGATTTTAGCTTGGGATGTGGTATTCAGGAGTGTGGGAAGCACTTGGGGAGTAGAGAAGTTGATGTACCACTGGAGTCAAAGGCTAGGCTATTACTTCACTTTAGACTTCCGGTCTAAAAGTCCGCTGAAAAACAGAACAGGGGTGACCCTGAGAAGATCAGCTAAGCTCTTTTACTCACCAAACTCCCTGACCTTTTCTTTCTTTTTTATTTTTTTCCACTTCCTTCTAACTATTTTTTGTGTTACACTTCGACTCGCTCTTCACAGTTATGGGATAGTTTTTGCCTTTTTAATTCCAATTTAATATTTCTTTTTTATTCTGGAAAACTGAATAGTGGTCTAAAATATCCAATTACAATAAAAAATACCTTAAAAGCTGTTAAATTCGGTATGGTGGTTAGAAGTATTTATATATGAAGTTGTTACTTGTATCAAAATGAATTAGTTTCTGTTGTTAAATAACTATGTTTCAGTGTTTAGTCTCCTCTAGCATATATTTTAATTAATTTTCTTGCAATTCTTCATTTTAACTGTTTTTCTTATTTCCTCAGAAGGTCATTCTTTCCCTCTTCCTGTAACCTAACAGACGAAGCTTAGAGTCCACCATTTGCTCCTAGAATAATTAAAATGAAAATGTTAATGCTCTTTGTCTACAGTAACTCTTCCAACCAAAATCATAACTGCCTTGAATCACAGCAAAAAGCTGTCTGAGATGTAAAACCATTCAGCAGTATGTATATCTCTAAAGAACCAAGGAATTGCTCATTTATGTTATTGTGCATTATTCAAAACTGAGACCTATTCAAAACTGAGACCTTGCACATTTTTTCATTTTGTGTCATCTTTGACTTTTGCTTTGATTCTGTTGTACAGTAGCATCGAGCTGGTAGATATTTGGGAACCGTTATCTCTGTTAATGGGAATGAGTAACATTTGAGGTAACACTGATTCCTAGATTCAGGAGTATACAGCTTGAACTCAGATACTGTCTCAAAGCCTTTTTTATGGACTTTGACTGATCAAGTATTAATTAACTTTGTCGTCTTATGGATTGGACTGCCCAAGCATGAAAAGAGTTAGCCCTGTATTTAGCACTTTAGTATTAGCTTGCAAATTAAAATGTAATTTTAAATTAATTAGCATGCTTTCTTTTCCCATTTCAGGTGCAACAACCGAACACAGTGTATAGTAGTTACTGGGTCAGATGTGTTTCCTGATCCTTGTCCTGGGACATACAAATATCTAGAAGTTCAGTATGAATGTGTTCCTTACAGTAAGTATAATCTCTTTATTCTTGTTCACTTCCTCTGGCCTTCACAATTAAAGCAGGACCGCTATTATTACATGGAAAAGGAGCGTATGTTTATGGCCCACCGAACCATTATGCATGCAGAGCACTTGCCGACTGAGGCCTCCAATTAGCTTCACTACGTGTGGAAGGAAGCCATGGTGCGATGCTGGCCAAGTGTCTGTCTGTGTTCTTAAGTGTTTGGCTTTTAAGGCTACTGTTTTTCCAGAAAACATTCAGTAGGCCAGCTAGAAGTTTGTACTTTTGCCCAATACCAGTTGCTGACAAATTGGTTTGGCTCACAGGTTTCTAAAGAAGGAATTGACTTCAATTTTAATCATGATCTACTTGAAAGGCTACCTGCTGTTGTGGTTGCTTTGGGTGCATAGCAAAACACCACTGGCACTGTGAAGCAAATGCCTGTGTTGGTAAATTCTGTAAAGGCGACTTTGTTCTTCCGGGGCACGTTCACAAGTGAACAGTGATTCAGGGTAAATAATTCATCAGTAAGTTGCTGAAATCTGTTTCTTGAAAACAACAGGGAAAAGAGCAAGAAAGAAATGTTCACTTCTACTGTGAACAGAAAATGTGAACTGTGCCTTGAAATCAATTGCCAAAACAGATTTTTTAACTGAAAACAGAGTAAATACTGAAATCAATATTGAGATCAAAAAAATCAGAAGTTGTGCTATTTCAGCAGTTTTGTACGATATTATTTCTAATGCCTAAATTCTTGCAGTAGTTAATATTTTTTTCAGTGACATGTGTGCATTTTTATAAAAGTTCTGCAGATTCAACACTTTTAACTGGTTTTACTTCCTTGTAAGGTCATTCTTTGCAGTGACTTCTCCCTCGTCCTGTAATTCAACAGAGAAATAGCTGTGTTTGCAGAGGAGTTTGAGCAGTGCACTGATTGTTCCCTTAAGTTATTATTAAGTGTGAATTTCTTGATCTGCAGTAATCCTTAACCAAAGTCGCATTTTCTATTGGTACAGGAAACAAGCCAAGTCTGAGATGAAAAAACACTGTGGTGACAGTATATATCCAAAAAGGAAGGAAATAAGTTCTGATATAAGCAAAGCCATGTCAAAACTATCCATACTGGTTACTGTACATGATTTTAAAATTCAGTCTTCTTAAATCAGAATACTATTCTGTACTGTTTCACCACATTGAACATTCACTGATGTTAAAGGCCAAACACAGATCATGGTTTTTTCCTTCATTTCTGCTGTGTCATTGTGAAATGGATGCTTTCTGATTTTTTTGTTTCTGTACCATTTGTAGGATTGGAAGCCTACTGCATACAGTGATTCCTAGTACCATTCCTCCTGTGTGTAGTATCGGTGGCTTGTTACAACCATTCTTCTTATGCCACTTTTGAGGATGATGTCTTACCCCAATCTAACCACAATTATTTTGTTCCACAAAGATTACTTTTACTTTAGCATTACTTTTGTTCCCAAATTCTCAGAAAGAGGGCAGTGCATCCGATTCCAAACCATGAGGTCAGTCAAATGACAAGAGATTACCTTTCCAGTTCCAGTAGGCTAGTCCATAGAGAGGAATTGTAATGCAAATAATGTTCAAACATAATTTTTTATGTTGTTTTAGGAAGACAAGTGTGGATATATTCTACCGATTGGGTATTCCTATCTACAAGCATCTTTTCTTTTCCAGTTTTCAGAAGTATAGTGCCACAGCGCGGCCTGCCCTGTACTCTAACATGTAGTTATTCTACTTTTAAAATGTTTATTTTTATTTATTGACGATTGCATTGGCTTGCCCCTTTTATTATATATTTCTGTGTCTGTCATAACTCAGGATTCTGGATCGTTTTTGTCTTTGAAAGTCTAAGTTTTGGAGTTTGTTAACTGCAGCCTGTACAGTGATGACACTATGCCTAATTGCAAAATTATAAGAGGACTCTTCTGTCATTACCAGCAATCATCAAAAAAGTTGCCTGTTATAAAAGATCAGCTTTGAAGTGTGATTTCAAACCACATTGTGCCTCAGCAGCCCTTTGGTTGTTGGCCATCTTTTTTCCCCGTCCCCCAAAGCCTATCCTTGTATTTTTCCAAGTCTCTTGTTTGCTGCCTGATCCGATCTAGTTACCAAGTCTAATATTTTCTCCCTTATATGTTCCAGTGCTCCATTTTGAGCCACATGAAAGGACTGAAATCATTAGGGTTGCAAACAGCAGCTATTGTGTCATAAGAGACTGGTTAGGAAGGCAGCATAGGCTTTTGTGGGTCTAGGAAGGGAGGTGCTTAGTGCTCACAAGACTTTAAAACTAGAAACCAAAGTTCAGTTATAGTTCTTATTTTTCTGAACTTCATGTTCAGTTATTGCAGGACTGCAAAATTTGCTGTGTCTCACTGTGACACCTTTCAGTCCATGAGAGATTGCAAATAGCTATAGTACCAGATTTTATGATAAAAGTTGGGAGCTTTTATACGTTGGAGCTGGTGTGTCACCCTTGTACAAAATGCAGTTTATGAGCTTCTCTGTGTCTTGCTGGCCTCCAGAAATGCGTAGCTGCCTTGCTGATCATGCATATTGATTGAGCTTTCTCTGGACTTGATATTCATCGCCCTCATAACAAAATGCTTAATAAAAAGCTTCCTTTGTTTGCATCTTAGAGTGTAGACCTATTGCTGATGTTTTTCTAATCTTCTTTAGTTGAAAAAAAATCTGTTGAGATACTCAGTTGGATCTCAACAAAACTACAATTCTAAGCAAATGTGATAGGCATTGCTTTGTCCTAAAATTAGAATGTTATTGATTAAGTTGCAAAGAAATGGAGAGTACCATACTTGACATTTCTCTCAATTATGCTACACAATGTACATTGACACTTTGGCTGATTAACAGAACTCAGCCCTTTTATTAATAAGCACATCAAAAGGACCATTTTATACATCTGTGCATTTTTATTTTAAGCCCCTTTTGAACTCAGGAATTCAATAGAAAACATTTTAAAGTGTTTCATTCTCTCTCTCTCTCTGTATTGATTAGACTTAGCAGCGTTTGTTTATTTCAGTAAGCCCATCTGTCCCTGAAAAAGGTACAGCTTTACACCAATGCACTCAGAGTAGGCATGCCACTAATGATTTTTGTTATCCCTATCTTTTTGCCACTGTCCCATTACTAATTTGAAGCAGGTACAACACCAATATTATTCTTTGGCAAGGAATAAACTCATGCATAATAGTTCACAGACAGAATCGTCTGAAAGTCATTAACACTGAACTGTGAAAACCTAGGAATCCACCTAGGACTACATCTTCTGTTTACTCAGATAACTCAAGAATTGCAAATTGCAAAAAAAATAAGAGTGTTTCCTAAAGATATATAGATGAACAAAGGCTAGGAAAGCTTCTGCTGTTTTTGACAATATTAAGCCCCTCTCCCCCCTTATCCCCCCCCCAAGTTTTTGACTTGTTTCCTGAAGAAACATTAGATCGGCTCAGCCAAGACCATTCTCACAAAATCATATGTAATTTTGTTAAATGAAGCTGAAAATCCAAAGCTTGTTACGGAACATACAAATACACTTTTCTGGATAATATCATAATACTGAAGATGTAATAGCTGTGCAGATAGTTTTGATACGCTTCCTTGGTATCAGCAGATACTGTTATAAAGATTGGTACAGCTGTCATTTTCCAGGTCATTTTATGAAACTAAGGGAGCATACTTCAAAGGCTACTGAGTATGTGAAATAGGTTTTATTGCAAATAATTATTGGAAAGCTATTTACTAGCTGGACTTCAGCTATAATTCTTCCTATAATTTGTTCCTTAAAACTTCCTAGGGGAAAAATTGCTATAGTAGTATAACTTTGTTAATCGGGTTCGTTTCATGATTTTCCATGGGTGGTGGTGGGATGGATATTTGTTTTGAACACTTAGTATGACTGTCCTTGCATACTAGCTTGCTGTTTCGGGCTTAATCGGTGATGCTGGAGAATATCTGAATGAGCTAAATGTTATTTTTTCCTTCTCTTTTCTTCTTGCTTACTGTGCTTTTGCTTCTTCTTTCTAGATGTTTTTACTTGTTCCTTCTAGTCTGATTTTGCAGTTATAGACTAAGAAGTGACAAAATTTCTCAAGATTAACGTTCAGGAAAACAAATAAAATAAAACCAAAGGAGAGCTAAAGGATGCAAGCTGCTTTCTTTACAAGAAAGAAGAGCAGAGGAATGGCTGGGGAAGAGAGGGAGGGAAGGCTTCAAAAGCACACACACATACCTGTATAATTAATATACTGTATTTCTGATTTGTAATTATCTAATTAATATACTATGTATATGTGCATTAGCACATACATAATATATTAATGTGCCGTTCTTTTAAAAATCAACCTGATAGCATAATGCTTTGGGTTTGAGAAGAAGAGGAGTATATATATCATGCATTAGTAAAGTCATTCATTATTTATTCAGGTTCACTAAGTGAAACTACATGCCAACATATCTGTATTGCCTCCTTAAACTACTAAAATGATTGATCCATGTTCACTTATGTAACCTGAGAATCTCTCTCCTGCTAGGTTTTCCTGTTGTCTGTTTCTCTTTATCCAATATAGTGCAGTTCTCATTCTCCCTATATTTAGCGTCTGTTACTAATTTAATCTTTAGATTAATAGTCAATTTATGTTAATCTTCTTTCTTTTTTCCTTGCACTTTTTTATTTTTCTTCCGATGCTTAAAATAGAAGTGGAGCAAAAAGGTAAATAACGTATACAGTCCAACCCCAGCTCCTTGTTATGTGCCTTATGGATGTTAACCTCTTCCCTTCCCCTCCCCACAACACTCTTATATTATGATAATCAGCAGGATCTCATAAGTACACCTCATAAAGAAGTCGACTGTTTGCAATAAAGTGACTTGGCTGCTTAAAGTAGGTGGCGGGGATAGTGTCTGAAATACTTGGGCTGGAGGGATGACTCCCTTGCTTTTTTCTCTCCCTCTCTCTCTTTGTCTTTCTTTCCCTCTCTTTCTCTCACCCTTGGGTAAATTCTTGTTAATGAAGTGTCATCTTGCCTGGCTTCCAGAACCCTCTCCATAGCATGCCATGGTTACAGGGTTTCCTGGTCTGTTTCATTCATTGCTTTGGTTGTGTTTTGTTTTCTCGGCTCCTAATTGCTTTCTCTATATACCTGATGATTTGTTTTGTTTCTTTATTTTTAAGCGAGGCACCTCCTTTTTCAGCCTCCCCACTTCTTAAAGTTCTAAACAAGCCGATGTGATTTTTTTTCGGACTGAAATGACCTAGCGCACTGCTGCACACCAGTTAAAAGCTCTGGAGCGTTAATGCGTATTCATTAAAAGTCTTAAGATGAAAATGCAAGAGTAGCTCTACATTTTCAGCTGTCTGTGTATGCCATTGAGCCTTGGTCTGTACTAGTGAAAACAGTTCCCGTCCACTTCCCATACTGGTACAGCAAGAACATGGTAACTTTAAGAAAAGTGGATGATAAAGGGTGATAACTGCATTAATTATAAAATAAGGTATAATCCAGTGCCAATTAAATTGATTTTTTTTCTTCCTGACACAGTCATTATGATTTACCTAGCTTTTTTTTTCTTTTTCTTTTTTTGATTATGAGACAGTTGTAATTTGACGTAATTCTTGTCTTACTTCTCTCTGTGACTGTTAGTTTTTGTTTGCCCGGGGACGTTGAAAGCAATTGTGGACTCACCGTATTTATATGAAGCAGAACAAAAAGCAGGTGCTTGGTGCAAAGATCCTCTCCAGGCTGCAGATAAAATATACTTCATGCCGTGGACTCCGTATCGCACCGATACTTTGATAGAATATGCTTCTTTAGAGGACTTTCAAAATGGACGCCAGCAGACAACATACAAACTTCCAAATCGAGTGGATGGTACTGGATTTGTAGTGTATGATGGTGCTGTCTTTTTTAACAAAGAAAGAACTAGGAACATAGTAAAATTTGACTTGAGGACTAGAATTAAGAGTGGAGAGGCCATTATCAATTACGCTAATTACCACGACACCTCTCCATACCGATGGGGAGGAAAGACTGACATTGACTTGGCCGTTGATGAAAATGGCTTATGGGTAATTTATGCCACGGAGCAAAACAACGGGATGATCGTTATTAGCCAGCTGAATCCCTACACCCTTCGCTTTGAAGCCACGTGGGAAACCACGTATGACAAACGGGCAGCATCGAACGCTTTTATGATATGCGGAGTTCTCTACGTCGTCCGGTCAGTGTATCAAGACAACGAAAGCGAAACGGGCAGGAACGCCATCGACTACATCTACAACACCAGGCTGAGCAGGGGCGAGCATGTAGACGTTCCCTTCCCCAACCAATATCAGTACATTGCCGCAGTGGATTACAACCCCCGAGATAACCAGTTGTATGTGTGGAATAACAACTTCATTCTACGGTATTCTTTGGAGTTTGGCCCACCTGATCCTGCCCAAGGTAGGAAGTTGGCTTTTTGCATCTCTAATTTCTTTGTACTTCCATTCAGACAGCTATGCTAAGATATCTCTGGTCTTAGACTTTCAGCAGAAGGGCCAGGAGGGTTTCTCAGCACAGTGCTGGGCAGTGTGGAGTTACACTGGTGCAAGGCAAATTTACAGAACCTGTGAAGAAAGAGATAATTACTTCATTTGGTTTACAGGCTTCTATTTTATCCTTTTTTTTAATGCATGGAATTTAACGTTTCTGTGTTTGAGAAGGAGTTGGGACATTATTTACTTTACACTAGCAGTCAGTTTTACTTTCTATAGCTAAAGTAACTTTTAGTTCATTCACACTGAGCCAGAAACATGTTTGTGTTTGTGCTATGTTACCTGACTTTTGAATTGATTACAACATACATGCAAACCTTTTAACTTCCTGGCACAGCCAGTTGCGAGTGATGTGTGCTGGAAAGTCCCAGAGGAGGTGTGTGGGGTTAATGTGCAATAACACATATAAATAAATATTTTTCTGCAGCCTTATTTTCACAGTTTCTAATGGCTGGTTAGACAAGATTATTCAACATCTTTGTAGCAGTTTTCTTGGTAAGTCCATTACAGTTGCAGCTGAGTTCATTTGAAGTTAGAACAACTACCTAAAAAGCAAGACAGTAACTACCGAAAACAAACAGAAAAAAGCAGGGTTTAGGACCCAGATGTCTGTAAAAGAGTGACATGAATAGGCACAGCCAGGTATTGCCACGTAAGGGAGAAAGTAAATTTTAAGAGAAATACTCCGTGACAGAAGATGCATGCAAAAAAGAACAGAATTTTGTTTAGCCGCTTTAGTAATGAAGATAATACTTCACTTCTCTCATCTAGTTGATATACATGTTTAACGGATGTTTTTCTACTTCAAAAATGTAGTAATAATGGCTTCATAACATAAAAGGTAGCTATCCTGCTTCAGCTAAGCCGGTTCACACGCAGCAGTACAAACTACACAGTGTATACGCAGATAATCAATATATTCTGACAGAGCTGTTCCTAGACATGCAAGTCTATAGGATATACCAGAACAAGGCAGTTTTAAACTAATCTGTTAGCGATCTCCAGAGCCAGGTGAAGGCATTACCAGTATGTCTCATGCAGACCTGGCTGGCGATACACCAGCGGGGGCCGAGCATGACCTCAAGAGCCACCGGTCACTCTTCTGGCAAGATCTGATGCCCGCATAGCAAGCAAGCCTGTTCCCAAGGGAGGCTGTGGGGCTGCTCTTAATGTTGATGCACCCACCTATGTAATTAGAGAAAACTTTATTGTTTTTCATTTTCATGCATTCTCATGCATATCACTTCTCATTTAGTTTAACTGAGGTGATGATGCAAATTCTCCAAAGCTTTAGAGGTAGGAGGAGAAGGTGGAGGTGCAGGTTCTAAGTAGCTGTCATAGTTCAGACAACTGCCCTAGAGTTTGTTCCAGGTTGGTTCCAGGAGCATATGTTAGGAATGTGGCAAAAGCTAATGTTTAAGTCACTGCATTGGAGCAAAAATTGTTAAATGAGGTAAGAAAGGGCTTTACAGAGTCCTTCCTTCGCTTTAATAGTCCACAAGACTATTTCCTGATGTTTTTATTATAAGAGAGAATCCGTAAGGTGCTGAGTTACAGCATGCATCCTGACCACATCCCATATGGGGCCAGAAGGAGATTTGGGCGTCCACCAGCCCCCCTTCTTGCTCCTGGGTTTCCATACACAGAAGTCAGCATGCGAGGCAGTGGATTCCAGCCGGAGCGAGACGAGCAGGGTCCAGGGCACACTGCAGGGTGCTCGCCTCTCATCTAAGCTCATCGCCCATTCACCCATGAAGTTACAGAAAGAATATGTGGTTGAGTGCTTTGTGGGTTTTGGTTCTATATGCGTGATGGCCTCAATAAATACATTTTGATTCTGACCGTTTTTAACTATAGACACTATAGAAAGATATTACGTTTATTTGAATGTATGTGATGCATATATTCATAAGAATCATTTTTTCCTTCGTAAAGCCAATACCCAATAGTTTAATTTTGTATGAATCTGTATATGGCAGATCTAAGAATATGTTTTAATTCATTTCCTCTTCTGCCTAAGCCAATTGCCTGTGGTTAAAGACATACTAAATTAAAGGAAAAATTATCTAATATGACTGTCCTTGAGATGTACTACTATAGGACCATAACGAGAATCTGTACAGTTCTTAACTCTATATTTTATTTGTAATATATTCTCAGTTCCTCTTTGTTTCAGATTGAAATCTATATAAATTGAAGATCAGTCACTTTATTGTTGTGTAGTATAAGGTTCTGTATGTGAAATACCTTTTTATTTTTTTATCTTACATGGAAATAGATCAAGTTTTCAGCTCATACATATATTTGATGAAGGGTATTTTTCTGCTTCTTTTGTTCTGCCCTCTCAGGTTGACTCAGATTTCTTAACCATCTACTCAAAGATATAGGTGTTAGAATAACATTTTTTATGTCTGCTAGCACAAGAACCTTCTTTTTTGCTGTCTTCTGCGATGGTACTTTAATATCCAGTATTTAATGATGTCGCAAGGTCAGTGCCTCAAAATTGGAAGTCCTGGCCTTTTCTGTTCAAATGGTTAACTTGGGGCCATTGTGGAAAACTCAGCAATCTGTGTTCTTTCTGCTGCCGTGGGAGCAATAATGATATATAGACACATGCTGATTTTTTTTCCCCATCTATCTGTCTTAGCTATCAATGCTTGACTACACCGTAACTTCTTACTATCGAGTGCTTCAAAAATAAGTCTTCTTCCTTCACAGAAAGTCTTTTGTCACATTTGAGTCACACTTCTGAAGTCAAACGTTTACATTGCCCTCAAGGCCAAAATATTGGATTCATTTGTGACCCCAAACCTACCTTTTTTCCTTCTGTTTTTTCTTTCATTTTTAAATCTGCCTATTGAAACCTCTGAAATACCGCTGTAGTTAACCTAATGTTGACCTTGTATTTGCTGCAAACCTAAGCTATTTTGCTCTATTGCAACTGTTTAAGTTATAGGCTCCCCATATCCTTGCAGTCTTAATCTTCAGAAAAAATGCTTCAGATATCTAAAACTAAGGACGCTGCAGCCAAGCTACCCTTCTATCTTAGAAATTGGGTTTGCTGGCTCTTTCTGCCCTCAATAATTATCTGTTCTTTTTAATTCTGTGTTCTCATAGGAATTACAGTACGTACATCTATAAATGATTTTCTGAAATATGGCTGACAAATACCACTTGAATATTATAGAACAGCACATTTTCTAAGGTTAAGTGAAAAAATTCTATTTAAAAACAAAAACTTTAAATTAGAAATAAAATAGAAAGTATCAGGTCCTGCAAATAGCAGCTATTAAAAATTCAAAACAAATTTTTTTTTATATGCATGGTGAGTCGAATGGTTATGTCCTCTTACATTCTTTCGAAAGGAGATATTCAAAGGACCAAAAGAATCCTAGCTGGCAAAAGGAATTTTTAAAGGAATTTTAAATTAAAAGACTCAGGAAGAATGAAGGGATTTTTCCCCCTAAAAAGTGAATGAGTTATTACATTGTAAGGTTTCCTTGGTAACAAAAAGA